AATTAAATTTGTCGAAAATTACCCGCGAGTCCCCTCTGGGCGCGTCGAAATAAAAACGTACGAAATCACCGGAGTTTGACTGTCCGTTTCTCTCTCTCTTTCAAGTATCGATATGTTATTTAAAATTATTTAAAATTATTTAAAAACACGTGCTTGCGTCGAACTCGATGCGCCGCAGTAACCGTGCCGGGTCGCAATGATAGAGAAAGCATTACCATACGTCAGCGAGATGTATCAGTTTCCGATACTCGCCTCCTTCTTCCTTTTTTGGGGGGTTTCTTTTTGACAGCGGGCGAAGTTCCGGCAGGACTGTGTGCTTACACTTGGTCCCGAGACCTTCGATAACAATACGCCACATTGATGGCTCAGTTACAAATTATGGATCCTCAAAGCGCGATAGTGTACTCGGGCCAGGCCGGCTTCCATCACACCCGCTAAATTTTTTAGCTCTTTTTGCGCGCCGGCTCACGCAACGACCGCGAAAATCAATATTCTCGAGATAAAAATATGATTCCACATGCCCCGTCATACACGTCCGAAGACAGTAAAGATTCTACAGCAGTGCTCACTCGTCGCAAGAGAGCAGCGGAGGGAGGAGACTCGACAAGTGTAAATTTCACGGCGACATGATCGGACGAGCAAACTTTTGTGTTTTATTCCGTTCGCTTGCCACTTCGTAACTGACTCGATACATTCAGTTTAACGTGTTTCATGTAATTCGGTTTATTACACACGAAAAACGCGTAAAGAAATATTTCCGCTTTGCATCCGTGTACATAAATCTTAATCCCACACCTTTAACAGGATTTTACAGCCCAAAAATTAAATAATATGTCGAACTAGATATTTTTTTTCTCTATTTTTGTCGTTGTTACGGCGATAACTCACGGACTTCTCCTCCCCGCGTACATTTGGTACAAAATAAATATTTGTTACCTTCGTCGACTGTTGTTTACGGCTCGTATTCAATATCGTTATTAATTAAAGTCACCTTGCGATTTGTTCTCTCACGCTTGTTAACGAGCGGACGCGAGAATCCGTCCTTTCGGCATTGTTATTTTCAATATACGCCAACGTGTGACGGAGAAGCCGACCGTTAATCAATGATGCGGTGAGCTTCCGAGCTTTGTTAACTAATATTACGTTGCGAATCGGATTTAATATTATCGCAATGCGCAAATCGCATTATACGGAATTACCTTACTTTGATCCGTCGGCCGTACGGGAGGATTCGTGCGCGCCTCAAATTTTCCTCTCTCGCACACGTGAGCCGCGCCTAGAAATCCTAGATTGAGTAATCCTTAGGAATCGACCGCGCGATGAAAAGGGAATATTCGCGGGAACGAAGTTGCCGGGATCTCTATAGTTTGAGAAACACTGTTCGGCGGAATGTGCGCCGACTTGGCAAAACGAAAACTTCGCCTCCACTCAAACTAGTTTACGACCTCCATTGCCGATATTGCCGGCAAGATTGTGCCAAGGATAGCGGGGACGAAATGTTAACCAAAGCGGATATTGAAAGCGCGCGCACGGGAGATTTATTTCCACGCGCAATAACGTTCCTCGTGTAAATACGGACGTCGACGTCGCTTCATTTAGGAATCATGAACTGTCGCGATGACGTTGCGTCGGAAGCTTCCCTTCTCGTGCGCGGCAACCACGATTTCCAAATAAAGCACGCGGAAAAAGACTTCGCAGCTTTCGGCAAATGATCCTTGCAATCATATTGCTGTAATTATCCGCGTGATCGCTGGAAGGTTGAAATCTGTCGTCGAGTCACACACGTGTTCGTCTCGTCTCAATATGCAGAACTCTACTTCGTCGATGCATCGTAGCGAGCAATATGCTAGATTCAAAAAGGGAATTGAGTCTTTAAATTGGCAATTCGAGCATTCGATGGCGGATAATACGGAAAAATATACACACATAAAACGTACGTTGAACTGCGACTTCTACGTAGTCTATCTGGAGGTCACGGAAGTAAAAGCAAACGCGTTCGATATTGCGGCACTTTGCACGTAATACCATTACGGGGAGCACGGCGTTCAAACTGCATTCAGACGGCGGAACGGCGAGGACGAATGCGAAGAGAGGAGACGATAATCGACTGAAAGACTGCACGGTTGGACTTTTTGATTGGACCGCGACTGATAACAGGCGCGAAATTGTAAGGACCCGCCGAGCTAATTAGAATCCGCAGTCTGTGGCGAATTCATTTTAATAGTAATAAATGCGTCCGGATGTTGATTAAAAAGAAACGCGGATTCGTAAGAAGCAAAGCCGCGCGGCTGCTTTATTAACGAACGCCGGCCGTTCTCCTTCGAGAAATCATGGTTTTCGCGCGGGAGGCGTGAAATTAACGTTCTGATATGCGTAAAAGAGAGACTGCTCAATATTCTCGCGCTCAACTACCATTAAAAAAACTTCGTTTCTACTAATTTCCATTAAAATTCCGATGTTTAAAAAAGCCCCACGTTTCACGCCGTACTCGGGCCTCCGTCCTGTCGTTTCATCGACGCATAATAAATAGGAGGTTCACGTTCCTTAACACGACAGTAGGTTAAACGCCGAGCCGTAAATCGTTTTTCTCACTCTACATAAGAAAAGCCTATCCGACGTCGTCAAGCCGCCGTTCGTTCGTGCGCTCATAAATCACGCCTGGCGTACTCGCGAGCTGAAAACGAACGAAAAAAAGAAATGTCAAACTAAGGAAAAATCTGATCCATCGTCGCGGGAGCGTTGGCCCCGATATCGATTGCGGTGCGTGAACGTGGAGAGCGTAACGTTCGCAAGGTGCGAACTCGTTTTTTATAATTAATAATGGTCGCGAGCTGAGAACGAACGAAAAAAAGGAAATGCGCGAACAAGGAGAGGGTGTGTGACTATCGATTGCTTCTTAGTGATGGTATATCGATTGCACTTCAGAGAGTACATGATTAGGTTTTCCATAATAAAGATTGCCTTGTGTTCATCTGCCTTATGCAATGTCGAGTACACTCGACGACAATTTCACAAGTTGGGAATCACGTCGCGGCGTCTCGTGTGCTCGATAACGTCGACTGGCGACTCGCGATCAAATTTCGTTTTGATAAAAATGATTTATAAATACGAGATGGGCCTCCAATTGCCGGCCGCTCCATCGCGCGCGGCGTCACCGGCTTTTATTTTTCCAGAAATATGAAATCCAATTCTCGATAAGACCCCGAGAGCTTACCGTAGGAACTGCCCATTCCTCTTCCATTCCCTCCCCGGCTATTTCTCATATCGCGATCGCGCGCCACCGCCATATCTCTCGGTAGTTGCGTTCGAGCACATCATCCCCGAAAAGGGTGCCGCTGGTTGAACTTTCCCCCAGATGTACGGAATCCTAACTGAACTCATTTAACGCGCCCGCGCACACCGAGAGTACATTCTTTGTGGTAATTTGTGATCGCGCGCGCGCACGGATTTTAAAAACTTTACGACACAATCCATCCCCCGAGAGTGGCGGATCTTATCGTGCGCATTCGATGTACCGGAAGAGCGCGTCGTTTCCGGCGGATTGCGGACGTGATTTTCAGAAAAAAAAAAAGGAACAGCCGAACGCGCTGACGTACTCAGGCACGCGTGTTTTTTTTTTGTGTAAAGGCTGGAAGTTGCATGGATGGCTTGATTGAATACTCGCTCTTGAGATGTATTAATCATTTCGGCTTTCGTGTTTGGATCGCGCGCGCGGACAGTCATGGTAATATTTCGACGGTATTATAAAACTTTTCTACGGAATACTTCATTCCCCGGCGACGCAGCACGTATGCAACATTTTAATTAAAATGTTGGACAAACAAATGCTGATATAAATCAAGCGGTCGGTAACTAAAGCGAAATGTACTCGTGTGTTTTCTACGTTTGCTCCGTACAATGGCTCCGTAAAATAATTACAATAAATTCATATGACTGATGAACCCGAAATGCTTGCGATTTCAGTTCTCTATAGTGGGTAACTAAATAATAATTACAATATTGTTCCTGATTTAAATTTCATGACCGTGGCTGCGCGAGCATTGATATTCATTAGTCGTATGAATCCGTCGTGATCGTACATTTTGTTACATTCCGATCCATATTATAAAATCTAGCGATCATCCCTAATCATTTCTCGTTAAATGGCGCGGTACAATTTTTCTGATAGCTGCAATAATAACTTCAATGTCCTGTGTATATAGGGTAATTTCAATATATACGCCGCATCTAAGGAAAATAAGGGATAAATAACGAAAGTGATGAAGAATCTGTGATGTAGATTGATCGTAAAATAAAAGTTTATAAACCTACTTTACGCAAGTAGCAATGCACAGGATATATGAAATTGCGCGTATTAACTGCACGAGACCTCATACTATGCTGCTGCTTTGTACGTTAGGCTAGAGATCCAGCAGATAATAACTCCACTACTGTTCACTGGGTTGCGACACTTAGTACCCTAAATATCGTGGCATTTCATATTACCCGACTATTCCATCCGCATTTCCTCCATTGAAGTATAGATACTAAATCCAAAGTAATCTTTATATCTGCGACCTTACAGAAGGTGGTTCAATGGTCGTTGGTATCAATTTTCGTTAAACAAATTTGTCTTCTATTTTCTTGATTCGAAGTTATTCAAGATGATAATAATTTATCGCCTCACTCTGTATATATATATATATATTAAATATGCATATAATATACATCTATAATACGATTTATAAAATTATAATAATGTTACAATTTTTCTCTCTCTCTCATAAAAATGTATGTAACATTATATTAATTTCATCCCTCTATTTATATCTTTTAACAGTCAGTATATATTTCTATAATACAGTTTATTAAAAATAAAAGTTATTTTCTGTCGATCGATGATCACTTCGGCAATGACATAACTAGATTTTTATCGTACGAATTGCTCTTTGTGAACGTGGGTATCGCAATGTACATGAATCGACCTCTGCTGACAATAATCGCGCGTGTCATAATTACAGGACCTGATGACGAAGAACAAGCAGCGATATCGGCGGCGTTTGCTAGTCTGCGCCCTCGTCGTCATAATTGTGCTGGCTTTGGTGATTGCGGCGACGATCCTTTTGACCGGCAAACCAGGTACCTCGGCGTCCACAACGGACAGCGCGCCTGGCATCTCTCTGTCGGAATGGCTCTCCGGTTCGTTATCCCCCGAGAGCTTCAATGGCACGTGGATCAGCGGTAAGTACCGCATCTTTGTTTCCCGGCCCGGCGTATAAATCCTTCCTTTTCGGTTCCGTCGCATCTTTATTCCCGGAGAATCCGGAAACTTTCAAGATGAGTCGGCCAACCGGGAACCCGATGGTTTCCGAAAGCTAATTAATTCGAATTGTATACTGCGCGCTGCGCAATTTAACACGCCGGGTAGGCCCGCTTTTTCCCGACTTTATTAATATCGGTTGTCATAAAATTAAAGCCGAAGAGTTATCTAATGTCACGTACAAACTCGGTTCTTTCTCTGAATTAATAATGAAGAAGGCGCAAGCTAAAAAATATTTTTTCTAACAACTGACACCACTCTCCTCTAATGTTAAATTAACGTCCACGTATGCTAACAAGGTGAGTGCGTTAATTTAACATTATATTTATACTATACTGTACTTCCCAGCACATATTTCTGTACGTTTTAGCACATTTCCCAGATAACAGAAAATTTCAGTGGATCCCCTTGTTGAAACAAAAGAAGGTGGGAATACATATAAGAAATCTGTATGGAATCCTGTGATTACCCCTGAGGATTTGCGCCAAAAACCCATATTCTAGGTAAAAACCTAAATGGATTTCTACACGAAAGTTCCCAAATCACGTGAATTCCTATATGGATTTTTATTATCCCATACACATGAGTTCTCATGGATTTACACGGGAATTCACCGGAACGTTTCCAACACGGTCGTTTTCAACACAAAATTCTTTACTTCGCGTAGATCTCGTTTCGATTAATATGCTGTTAAAACATGAAAAGATTTCCAAGGGAATGAATTTATGGGCCAATTATCTTGAGTATACTCTCTTCTTTCGGCTCGATATCGTTAACGATTCGAGGTCGCCGCACGGTTAAATGCGCACGTGTAAAATTCCTTCGGTAATACGAGCGTTTAACATCGATTTGCGTTGCGCGTCCGCAAATCCTCCTCTCGACGCAACGCCTCTGCCGCTTTTGTGCACGCCAATTTCGCCGTGAAATTTTCCATTCGGCCGTACAACGAAATTATCATAAATCATAAATCTCCCGTGAGACAAAAGTCGCGCGGATCCTCCGCCGCTTCCGCGAGAACGGAACGTCAAATTATATCACGGAACGTATGTCAGTCCGTCAGTTTTTCACCCCTCTCGCGGCCTCGCGAACCGTATTATATAACAGCAAAAGAGGATAATAAATGATTCACGCGGCCGGGAGCGCACAAAGCGGCCCCGTCGGCGAATATTTATATGACTTTTTTTCGCGCGTGAATGGCGCTTCGCGGCGTCGTGCCGCGTCGCGCCGCGCTTCCACGGACGCTCTGAAGTATGAAGTTCAAACTAATTTTATATTTGAGGCGGCGTCCATTCTACTTCATTCGCGGATCCATTTGTCTTTGTTACGGCACAGCCGCCGACACCGGTGTCAGCCTATAAATCCTTTCGTCAGGTCGGGAACAAAAGACGGGTTTTAATGGATTTACGCGCGCGGCTAGTATCTTCCCACTATCGCGCGCGTAACATTCGCAGCCGCGAATAATTCCGGCCGCGCGGATTTTCCGCCACGGAGATCGAAATTAAACGCGCGGCCCGAAAGATCGGTCGCGCTCGCGTTTCCACATCGAACGACGACGAGAGGCGAATACCGCGGTCACCCCGTTTCCCCCGCTTGACTCGCCGCACTGAAAAAAGAAATAGAAGGAAAGCGAAAGTGTTATTGATGATATAACTTTCCATACACATTGTCACCGCTATGTTTGTAATGAAAACTATAGAAGGTTTATGATCGGGACTACCGAAGATAACTGTAATTTCTCTCAGTGCGCGTAGAAAATGTTTACTTTCGCACCGCCGTTGGCTCTGATTTCGAGAAGTCGCTGACACTGCGGTGGCGAACTGTCACGTTTGTTTCGATCTTGCGGCGGTCGAGTGCTGCCCGAACTTGCCGCTTCTCGACCACGTACAAGGAAGAGGATCCGTCGTTTCGCAGATTCTTCTTTCGGTAATTCCGTTTGTCGGATAAACCGATCGCGTAGATATGTGTTATTCTCCCTCGGCGATTCCTTCAACGATGATACATTTTCACCGATTACGGCAGCAAATACGCGAGTAGAAAATTCCTCGGGATTCCGGTTGGAAAACTTGTGCAGATTTCTGCTTAGTGAGGTGATGTTGCAAACGTACGATTTCTAATTGAGAAGCATAAACAAATCTGATTTAGTTATGAAAAATTTAACTAGCAAATTCTTTCTCTCCGTGTGGAAAAATCTGGGCAAATGTCGATACATTCTCGGCGACGCTACGACCCCGAGCGTATTCGCCGCGGCGATCGATATAATTACGACACGGACGACGCGTGGAAATAATGCGCGATTCGGAACATTTCTCTCTCTCTCTCCTTTTCTTTCTCTTCGCAATTTGTTTCCCTTCCCTCTTATGGCTCGCGGCGATGGGGCGCCTCTTAAAAATTAACGAGGTCAGGTCCATTCCGGCCAAGGAATCAGAGAAACGCACGTACAGTAAAGTGCATTAATGGCGTCTGCCGGGAATCCTCTTACCATTTCGGATCCTTCTTCTCTTTGCTGTCGCTTTACTTCTGTGTCTCTTTCTTAACGATCTGTTTTCTTATTTTTCTACTCGATAGCGGTAGCCTTCGATTAACTTATGCAATTGATAATAATTTTAATATTGCGTATTAATATGTGATAAAAGTATAATAATAGGGAGAGGGAGAGAAAAAGAGGGAAAATGAGAAAAAAGAATCATCCTCTTGTTATCAACGAAAAATCACAGAATTCACCCGACGGCCATCCTACATGTATGAATGAGCGCGAAATTTGATCAAAATTTAAATTTCTGAGATTGGAAATTTCCCGCCGGAACGTAATACGTAACTGTTATTTTTCACAATTTTGTGCGCGTATGTGTGCATACGCCGCGGGACTAGAATATATTTGATCGGACTTGTCATATCTTGCCGCACTAACGCAGAGCGTTGGTAAAAATTTATTCTAATGTCAAAGTGCAGATTCGTGTTACGGAGAGAGTTCACGACGTATAATAAACATGCATTTTGATATGTGAGTTTTTGAGGCGAAAAAACACTTTGGATTATTCATATCCATGTGCGAGCAATCATTTAATCGTAACATAACGCGCATAATTTCATCAAGAATAACAAGTGCTAATAGAGCCTCATTCGCAATTAACCAAAGTGCAATGTATCATCCTCTGTGTCTGTGAAGTTTTCGTCAAATTTGCGACGAGCCGATCGTTTCTAACTCGAAAGCTCCCGAGACATGTCCGCATTTTCATTTTCGATGCCGAGCCAAAAATGTCCCAAACTGTCCGTTCAGATTCGAAAGCGTTTTAATACACTATCGCTGTTATCGCAGTGTCTGAAGGAATGGTATGAAGAAGGACAGCGTTGCATGCGTCCGGTTGGCGGACGGAAAAGAGCGAGAAAGGTGTGCTCTATGGCAGTAATTATGGTGGTTAATGAGAGCCTCACACTAGACATCACCGCAGCCATCATTTAGTCAGCACCAATTAGAGGTAACAAAGGGGTCGCGATTAAATTACCGTGTGCGTTCTCTAATAAATCTGGGGTATCAGAAATACAAGGCGTGCATGATTGCGTATAATTCCCGCGTTGAAAGGTGAAACGTCGCCTCGAACGCTTAGGAATCGAAGACAACGTTTGTAAGGTCAATAATAATTTTCTTACGTTGTAATAAATCATTTTTAATAGTAATGCGTTTAGTGATGATTTTGTTCCAATTTCATTATTTATACTATAGTGCAGTCTTCTAATTTTTTCCACCGAAAACTAAGGAAATACTTTCAAACGAAACAGTTCAGAAATGCTAAATCTAACATGGCGAAATCAATGAAAATTAAAAAGATAGTTGATTTTCATATTATAAAAATTGAAAATCTTAAAATGGCTAATAGCGGACTTTATATTACTGTAACTAATAACTAAGTAATTTTTAACAGGGACAGCAAAGTTCAAACCGGCGAATGAGATTCCGCTGCTATTATTACGTCAGTTCTTTGAATGCATCAAAATTACCATGTCAGATATCGCATTATATAATATTTTGGAAAATCTCGTCACGTCACAAATATAAAAATATACAACTGTGTATATCGAAACTGTGTCATTTTGTGTCATGGCGGGACGTTAAATTAGAGTTACGAGGAGTTATGCTCGTTACACGATATGACCTCTTTCGCAATTCGTATTGCGTTACGATATATCTAGCGTCATTTATCGAACACGAGAATAATAATGCAATGTCAGCCGCAGTTTCCATCGGGTTCGTGCGAGGCGAGGTCTTATAACTGCGGCAAAATTGCAGCCGCATAACTATGCAGTCTGTGGTACGTAACTGGATATTACGCAGGTGCACGTCGAGTGTGTTTCCACGTTACTGATCACACGTATAAGGGATAACCGGAGGAATTGCGTCTGCGTCGGATTAGCTGATTGTCAATATCAAATGGTACATATTCTTGCGCAAAATCACCGATACTTGAAACCTTCTGAGTTTACGCGACGCGTGAAGGAGGCGCGAAATGCACAGATAGGTCTAAGATAGATATTTCTCGGTCAAAACTTGTTTTTTTTTCAAACTTTACCTCAAGTTGGTATAAATGTAGGTTTATAATGGTCTTATAGTAAAATAATGTACCCGTTTTAGATCCCGTGTCCTATCGGATTTTATATGGAATTTGAAGAGAATCAGAAAGTAGAAATTCTCGACTGAATAATGTTGAAACCTTTGTATTCGAGGATATCGTGACAGAAAAAAAACGATATATTATTTAAATGAGAAAATCGAATTACTTTTTTATTTATTTAAGAACGAAGTGAGATTAATGTTGAATTGTTACTTATAAATAGTTACTTTTCCCCTTTAAAGACATTTTTTCCATGTAAAGAAGTTTCAGTTTCATTAAGATTCCGAGTTTCGGCCGAAAATTTGTCCTTCCAA